TAGAGCTGGGATAAATAAAATAAATCATAAAGAGCCAGGAACAAATTACCTGTACTTCACCTAAACACATCTTCAGGGTAAGCTGGCTAAAGAGAAAATGACATGAAACAATATTTATTGATAAAACCACTAAAACCTGTGACAGAAGATAGAGAAAAAAGGATTTCCTATACTTACGCCTATTTAGAATCTCAGTTCTTTGATTTAATAAATTATTAGGTTCATTACAGGAGATGACATTTGCTAATTTTTCTTCCATACATAATAAACAATACTTGTCTCCTGCTTTATAGTTATGGCCAGCATATCCTGAAGATCCATTTAGGTAAAACCTAGGTAGGTTGTTCCTGGCTCTTTAGGATTTATTTCATATATATAAAAAGAAATAGTCATACAAAGAATATATCAGTAATTAATAGCGAAATCACTTCGCTAACAGATTAAATAAAGCATTAACTTACTAACCACTCATTGAACGACACAATCTTTGTTTTTAAAAATTGTAAAATGGATTAAATGTTTAGTCCATTTTCAAGTACTTTCGATGAATTCTTTCATCATCTTCAGGCATTGAAAGATTTTTTTTAAAGTTTGTTATTATTAACAGTTACAAAATTTTGGAGTGTGCAATTATAATTATTAATTATAGTGCACCATTTAATAATAACATACACGGGCAAAACAATAATGATAATAATGTCCGTGTATTGTTTAATATATTGTAATGTAATTGACATCTTTGATAATGGCTTATGTAAGCTGAAAGCTTAGATAGGATTAAAAAAAAAAAACGTATCAATATGGTGATTTTCTTTCTTCATTTAATGATAATGTCATTAAGCTTATCAGACGATATGAAAGGAACTTACTTAAAATAAATAGACAATACTTGTCTATATTATTTAATGAAACATGCATCAATGAAAAAATGCTGCCTAAATACACTATATATATATATATATATATATATATATAATTCACATTTTATTGAATACGACAGACAAGGTGCTTTGGTTTAGTTTTTTTTTTTAATACAATTTCTCATGTGATCTAATTGTATAAGAACACTAAATCAAATTCACCTTGTCTATCGTATTCAATGAAACGCCTATTGAAAGGCAATATATTCGCTCAGGGGGAAAGTTACCTCCCTTACTTTCTAAAGCTAGAGAAAAATTTTTTTTTTTTGACAATAAGATCAAAAAACCTGCATTTACGAAAGATTTGTTTGGCTTCTTTGACCAGTCTCACAATTCACATACGGTTATTGTCCTCATCTTTGTTGTTATCACGTTTTGGCCTGTGTGCCCTCTGGCCTTCCTATGTTGATCAGAGTAATATCTAGAGGGATTTTCAAACTGAACTCTTTATTTAATCTATGGGGGTAGACTGTGCTTGTTCCACTGCCCATGTTTAGTAATTGTGTGTTCAAATCCTGACTTGGGTAGTGTGCAATTGGACCATATGGAAACAGGGTGAGCAATAACGGAGCAGTATTAAAAATATGAACTAGACGAGAGACTAACCCCACCTTAGATTAAATAAAGAGTTTAATTTGCAACTCCCTATATGTTAGCCTGATCAACATACAGGTGAGCACAACAAAGATGAGGATAATAGTCAGCATGGGTTGTTGACACCAAAACGATTTTTTTTTTTTTTCAAAGTAATTTTTGAAGGCTTCAACTTTTAGTTTGTCTACAGTTCTAAGAGTAGTTCTATATAAATGTTTTTTTTTTATTTTAATCTGCCCAGATTTTTATATATATATATATATATAAAAAAAAACTTTTGCAGAATTAATCATTTATTTATATCCCTTGTTTTGCGTCCCTTCTAAATTAGGTACCTTCACTGATTCAGTATGCATAAGCTTTAAAATGAAAAAAAAAAACCCTTCATTTTAGCTTTAATTAAAAGCTAAAAGATTTAAAAAATCTATTTCTAATAAGCAAAATACTCTGGTGTATTTCAAAACAGAAATTAGATGCCTTTGTAAGCAAAAGTTAATTCTCAGTTTTAAAAATCTTACAAAAATAAAATATATATTTCTAAAATGATATTTGACCAAAATTAGCAAATTTAAAGTTAATTTGATTTGAAAAAAAAAACAAAAATTACTCATAGCATAATAATATTGAATACAAGCATTTCTTAACCACAGGCTTTTGTTTTTCTGATGTTTTAACAGTTAAGTATGGTGGAAATGATAAAGATTCCCCCTCCTTGCTGTGTATGTGCGGGCAACCCTTAAATGCTAGATTTATCAGTTTGTGCATCTATACTTCTGAAATTCTTTTAAAGATATTTGGGGTCATCTGATTGTAATAAGTTTTACGATATATATAACTAGTAAATATAATTTTATTTAATATTTTGTAAGAATTACCTCATTGAAAATGAATTTTAAGAGATTTAAAACTTATAAATTATTTGATTTAATAAAAAAAAAAATCTTGTAAAACTTCCTTTTTACACCGAAGAAAGGATAATTGTCTTTAATATATCTTATTCATAAAAGCAACTAAAAGTTTCTCTAACTAAATAATGTCTTAGTTTTATTAATTCAGAATAGACTTTCAGTAAAATTGGGTTTGATTTGGTGATTTAAATTCCTTTAATATTACTAACATGAGTCACTAAAATTATCTCTAGGAATTTCTCAAGTTTTACTAAAATTAAGTAAGGGGGAGAAACATGTCAAAGAAAATTTTACCAAGATTTTCTAGAGAGAAAAAAAAACAAAAAAAAAAACAACAATGTCTAGTAGACATGAATAATCATTGGAATCTGAGGTTGGCAAACTAGAATTAGGATACACTTGCATGTACCGTGTTGTCTTTCCTTGAATTCAGAGTGCCATAAATTATATTATATTTTTTGTTTAAAAATTCAAATGCATAGAAGACCTGATTAACCAATAGAAAAAAAAAAAAAAAATAAATACACTAGAATTTCTCCGTATCTTATTCTCTGCTGAAGTTTTAATAAAAAGCAAAACATTTTAGATTGATAAACATTTCCTATTTCTTCATTTTTTTTTTTTTTAAGACTTGGATATATTGTAATGTTTTCTATATGTGTGTTGGTTTCACAACACACTGGACCATATTGCCTGGCAATGATTCTCTTTCTGAAATCAGGTATCAAAGCCAAAACAGCTGCTGTAGAGATAACAGATAACAGATTCAATTTTGGTCATTTGCAAAAGATTAGTGAGAGCAAATGGAGTTGGAAAGACAAAAGACAAAAAAAAAAAAACACAAAAAACAAAAAAGATAACAAAGTTCATTTATTTTTATTCTTTCTGCCACTTCCAAAAAGAAATGGGAAAATTTTTTTTCAGATTCACATTTTTCAAAGATTTGTTTGTGTGTATGTCCCCCCCACCCCAACTTCCAAATTACCAAACTCCACACATGTCCACAGACAAATACATTAACTATGCCAACTATATATATTAAAAAAAACAAAAAAAAAAACGCAAACAACAGTCAGCCTTCTGTCATGCGGCTCATCTGGAAATGCCCAGTAAACAAGATCTCGTACCCTTCTTCAACTTGCAGTTTTTTTTTGTCTTTGAGGGAAAATTCTTTTTCCACTTTTAAATTTTATTTAAAAAGGAAAAAAAAAAAAAAATTACTTGAATGAATGAAATATTCAAGAATTCATTATGAAGAACAATCCTTAAAAAGAAAAAAAAAATAAGCTTCTTTCCAAAAATCAGCTAATATTTGGAAAGCAAACTATTTTTCTCCTTTAAAGATTTTTATGTCTGTGGTGGTGGTGGGGGAGGGATAGATTAAAAGAAAAAAAGTTTCCCTTATTTCTTAGGGTTGTAGAAAAATAAAGTTTTTTTTTTCCAAACGAATGGCAGTCACATTTGGGCCCCCAATTTCTAGTATGCTTAAGAGAAAGGAAAAAAAAAATCTTAGAAATTCCCATTATTCATGGAGGACGGAGGTGTGGTGAAAAAAAAAAAAAAAAAAAAGCATGTGACCACACTTCAAGTCGTTTGGCCAGAAGACAAGCAATTCTTACATCATTTTCTACAACCCCGAGAAAGTTTTCGTTCAAGAAAATGTAACCAAATTGAAGGCAGATCTACATTTTGTATCAGTTGTCAATCCTCACCCCCCAACAATTTTAAAAGAAGGTTGTGTGTGTGTGTGTGTGGTCAAATATTAGGTTTGACAAGAGAAAACTAGATGGCATTTCAAGTTCAACGGCCAATGTTGTTTGGGAGAGAGGAGGGGGTTGATAAAAAGTGAATTTGGATAGTTATTCCTACCTCCACAAAAAAGGGACACTGGTTTAGATTTCATGTTCATGAATTTCCATTATTTAGGTAAAGGATTATCTAGTGTTACTCCCCCCCCCGGGAGGGGGGAGGAGGAGGAAGTGCTTCACCCCCCCCACCCCAAGTGTGGAGGAAAAAAAAAAAAAAAAAATGAAAAAGAAAATGAATAAATATTTTTTTAATTTTTTTTTTCTTTTTTCCTGATGCAACGTTCTGAACAATTATACAAACCTACATTTTTATAATAAAAATAGCCTTCATAGGTTCTTAAGGGGGTTTATTATCGTCACACACATACAAACCCATATATATATACACACACACTTGTAAAACGTCTTTGCTACAGTCGGTCTTCAAGTATTTACATGTATGCAGTATGTAGATTTTTGGGGATATGCGATCCCCCCCACCCCGGGTGCATAATTTATGTGCTGTCAAGAAAGCTATTATATAGAAGGTTTTAAATAGGCGTGTGTGTGTGTGTGTGTGTGTGTATATATATAGGGAGGGGGAGGAGAAGAGAGGGGGAGAACTGGGTTTTATACACATTTTCACATTTGGGAGAATGAAATTATAGAATTTTTTTTTTTTTTTTTTGTACACAAAAGTGAGGCATGTGTTCTGAACTCAACACACTTTCATGTCAGTCAAGAAAAGCACAACACGTGATCAGATTTCAGGGGGTAGACAATGCCAAATGTTACAAAATCACGCAGCATTGGTTGGTTTTCCGCGCCTGGAATGAAAAGAAAATAAATAAATAAATAAATAAATAAAACTGTCAATGAAAAGCAAGAGTAAAATGGAAAAGATATTACAAATCATAATTTTACTGAACTGCGATCAGAGGAAGACTAAAACTTTGCAATATGAAGATCACGAAAGCTGAAAACTGGGGATCAGTTTTATTCACATAATGATATCTCACAAAAAACAACAAACATTAAGTAATACTCATTAATTAGTAAGACTGTCTTAAAATAATTTATCTTCAAATTCTGATATAATCACCCCACCACACCTGCCAGTACTCACTCTCTCTCACACACACACACACACACACACACACACACACAGTATATGCTTGAACACTGCTGATGATGATGAGTATATAGTTGCACTCCCACTTCAAACCTCTAATATTTGAGGATGGGAACTAAATTCAGAACCAATTATGTAAAAAGCAAAAAAAAGTATGAAGTTAGATCATCCCCCCCCCGTAATCTTCAAAAGTTCCTGATAGGAAATATTGAAATATTTCACCAGACAATAGTTTCTTCTATATGAAAATGGTTATTGTAGATTTTGAAAATTTACATAAAGCTTGACAGCTTCTTTGAATAGTTTCAAATAATAATAATTTTGTAGCACCCCAGTGTTGAGGAAGTCGGTGGTTTGGGTTGTTTTATAGCAATATCAACACCTCAATGGGTTATTTAATGCTGACAAGATTTTTCCTTTAAAAAATTTATTGCTGGTATTAAAACCTATTTTTACACTTTCATAGTGTTTATACTCCTGTTAGGGGGTTAACTATTTGCCTAAAGCTAGGACCCTAAAACACCAACAATTATGTGATGGTTCCACACTCCTCAAAACCTCCTGATCAGAGTCCTAGCTGTTGGATGTAGTTTATCATCTTACCCAGGACAGGTTGAGGAAATTGACTGACACCATATTTGGGTGATGATCCTGATGTTCTCAATCGAACCAAGGTTGTTAGACATTTCTGACCAGTTGAATCATTTCCCATTTAAATGCTTAGCTTACAATTCTATTTCCATTCTCATTTTAACAGCCTTTATGAATATGCTACACACCTATGCTCATCTTGTGCTAATCTGTACATGTTGTCATTGAAACTAATCTGGTGCAAGGTCAGAAAGTATCACACCCCTCCCAACAAGAAGTCAGTCTAGCATGCTCTACGAGGAACAAAGTAGTCACCCTTATATTACAACAAGACTGAAAAGCTATTTTAATGACAGTTGCACATGCATTGGGAGAGGGAATGTTAAGAGAGGCAGAGTGAGCAAATCCCTTAAAAGTTGGATTATAAAAAAGGAGATTCCATCTAGAATCTATTTCCAGATTATAGAGGCTGGCAGGTATCTATCCTAGAAAGCCCGTGGGGGTGGGGGTAAATTAATTTGTCTATTACCCAACCAAGCATGTCTGCAGAGCATTTAGCAAGTTCACAGCAAGACAGAGAGAGAAAGTAATTTCTTTGGCAATCAACATGCTTGGGAGAGAGAGAGAGAGAGAGAGAGAGAGAGGGAGCAAGAGAGACTGCAGTGTTTTCATTTTCTAATTGTGAACATGACCTAAGCGCTACCTATGCAGCTGCTGAGAGAGGAGAGCGAACCAGCCAGATAGAAAAGAAGACGTACACTTTCGATGAGGGACTGCACTCGAGAGTAGAGAGTTTGTAAACAGACAGAGACTGCCTGCTGACACAAATGGAGAAAAGACGCAACGCGCTGACAGGGGTTGCCATGGTGATCGGGGGACAGTCGGGCAAGGATAGGCCGCCTTCGGGCTTTGATTAAGGGCTCGGAAACTGGTGGAGGGGTTGGAGTACGGGGAGGGGGCTCTGTAATCATAGGGGCGGGAGGTGGTGGAGGCGCTGGAGTTTTCACTTTCACCTGGAACACAACCAACGTTAAAAAGGTTAAACTTTGAAGATTTGTGTATATTATTAACTAATGATAATAATAAATAAATAAAAAAGGACCAGACAGCAATATGTAGAGAGATAGAGAGATAGAGAGATACAAGAGATAGAGAGATACAAGAGATAGAGAGATACAAGAGATAGAGAGAGATACAAGAGATAGAGAGATACAAGAGAGAGATACAAGATGGAGAGAGAGATGGATACAAGAGAGAGAGAGATACAAGAGAGAGAGAGATACAAGATGGGAGAGAGAGATAGAACAGAGAGAGATACAAAGAGAGAGAGAGATACAAGAGAGAGAGAGATACAAGAGAGATACAAGAGAGAGATGCAAGAGAGATACAGAGAGAGATACAAGAGAGAGAGAGAGAGAGATACAAGAGAGAGAGAGAGAGATACGAGAGAGAGAGAGATAATAAAAATGAGAGCAAGGAAGGAAGATGTAAAAAAGAGAGAGAAAAAGAAAGAAATTGTGTATCATGTTCATTAGAATATAGACTTTTTTTTTTTTTCCCCTTGTGTATATTTTAATATATTTTCCTGACTGATGAATTGATTTCCATAGATTAATAGTGAAAGTCAAATAAAAAAAAAAAAAAAAAAAAAAAAAAAAAAAAAATGTCTTTTCTGTTCTGCACCCTGTTCATATTCCGATTTTTTTTTTTTTTTGCACCAAAAGTTTTGGCAACTTTTGAAAATGAATGAGCGAACTAGCAAAGGGGTTTAGTGTTGCATATACAAATTTTGTTTCAATGGAATTTTGAAACCATATCTGTTGCTTTGGCATCACCACCATAAGTTGATGACCCTGTAGCAGATAACTGCAAATTTGAGTGAAGGAGATCCACATTCATAGCCAAGATCCCCAAAATACATTTGGGGAGTGGGTACTGAAGATGGCATCAGCTGAAGTTTTGATAAATGAAAAATTTTTTTTCTCTAAAACCATAATCATCGAATCTGATAATATCCTCATCCACAAAATACAGATGTGTACATATTTTATTCTGACAAAATCCTGAGTAACACAGAAATGTTTTCTCTCTTCAATCGATGAGGTCAATCCTTTCATCCTGACCAAATAAATCCACCCCCACCTCCTACCACACGAAATGAAGAGAAAGAAAAGAAAAATACTCACAGTTTTGTAGAAAGCTTTTGACTGATTGCTGAGGCCTTCTGATTTTTCTACAAGTTTATCAAGCGTTTCTCCTCGTTCCAAAACGGCTTCTATTGTGTTATGCTGAAGAAAAAAAGATTTTCACTCAGATAAACAACCATTTATTTAGTTAGTGCTATCCCTGAAAGTTATCTAATTTATTAAACAAGTTTGGTAGATCTTGACATTCACAGCATATGAAAAGTGGGCATAGCAGTGTCTAAAATTTCAATGTAAGTTCACAGATTGCATTTTGGATAGAGAAAAGAAAAGAGAAAAGAAAAGAGAAAAGAAAAAGGGAGAGAGCAAGAGAGTTTTAAAATAAGACCCAGGGAGAAAGTGAGGACCTATCCAGGAATATATTTAAATATGCAAGATTCCTGCAAAATTAGATGAAATTTTGTTGTTTTACTACAAAAGAATTATTACACACTGAACTTTAAGAAAATGCATAAGAATTAAAATTGTAGTAAAACTTATCTTTGATTGCAGCAGATACCAGCAATCTCCATTCCAAGTAGAATTCTTATTGCGTTTATTCAAATTGACATAAACTTTGAGGGAAATCTTTAAAATGGTCATTGCTCATATTTTTCAAGATTGTTTAATTTATCGACATCAAAAATTCATCACAGTACGACAAAGTGAAAATAGTCTAACTGCAGACATCAAAAGATAAACGTTTTTTTTTTTTTTTCAAACATTTCCATGACCAGAGAATAATATCAATTCAGGTAGATATTTTTACGTATAGATTCAGATCCATTTGAAGCAACCTTTTCTTTTTTTTTATCTGTCCATATTTCCGAGATGATGTACTATAACAACTATTGACATCATTTAGATTGTTGTCATCATCTTTATTGTCAATATTCATGTGAAGTAATCCCAAAAGTGACTTGATCTAAAGAGATCTAAGTTCAATACCCAGCCACAGCAGAGAGAACAAAAACTTGGAGAGTTACTAAAGGAAATTAACTATTAGAACCACCTGTGCATTAAATAAAGGATTCCGTTTGAAATTCCAATGTATATCACCTGAAGAAGGCTGGAGCATACAGTGGCCGAAATGTGAATATGGCAATAAAGATGAGGACAACTGTCTGAATGATGTAAATACTGTAAATCTTTTTTTTTTTTTTTTTTTGCCTGCTGCTTTAAAGCAACAAAACAAGGGAAACTTGCTCAGAGTTAATCAGTGTATAATTAGTAACAATGACTTGTAGGCATCAGCAGCCAAAGAGAGAAGCCAAATTAATTTTCCCTTTTTAAAAATAAAATGGACAAACTAATAAATTGAAATCTGTCTTTAAAATGTTCTTGCAGGAAGAAAAAAAATCTTACCAAAATAATTTTTGTTTCATCCAAGTCGTTCTGGATTTTTGTCATAGCATCACATTCTTTTGGGTTCTGTTTTTCAGAAAGAGGAAAATGAAACTCTTAAATATTTACAGAAAGATTTGAAAATAATACAATTATTTCCTCAAAACATTGAAGATGTATCCAGCAGAGATTATAAAAAGTGCACAACAGAAAAAAAAAAAAAATCTGCCCCTAATAATTATTCTGAAGCAGGTTTTATATATATATATATATATATAATAAATAAATAAATAACTGTCCTTTATAATATATTAGAAGGCTTCACAAAGTAAGACAAAAAGCTTTTAATATTTAATTTTATTTTTAATGTAGTTATATTATTTTAATTTTATAAATTACTTATGTATGCATTTATCTACTTGATATCTTTGAAACAAAAATTTTAAATGAAAATTTCATCCATAAATTGGCTTGTTATAGTTAAGGAAAGTTTTATAAATTATAGATGCCTACTTGTTGAAGGCCAAGTAAAATGCAAATTTCAAACATTTTTCTGCACTATATATGACAATATTCCTAAACTGAACGATTTTTGATGTGAAAATCTAAACAATCCTCGAATAAAAGAACAGTAATGAAGTACAGTTAATTAATGAAATAAACTTTTTTCAAATCAATATGCAAATTAGTTAAACCTGAAAAGTGATATTGCCTGAAAGTCGATAATATACAATACAGATATTGAGCTTTTAGTGTGTAAATTATTAGAAAGTAGAGCTAGCGTTTTTTAATCTCAGAATTCGTTGGAGAATTGAGCTCCAATTTTGTATTTATTTATATAGATTCCATAATATAGATTTTACTTAATTAGCTATTATGTTTCTCTAACACTTCAAATGTTGAATGTATAACTAATTCTAATTTCTATTTTCCCATACTTACATTATATTTTAATTTTATCTTATAAATTGTCCCCATGTTCTGTCAGCCATGAAATGAAAATTATTTGTATGGAAAATAAGAATCTACATACATCAAATTGTCTTTAAATTAAGTGGCAGCAGAAGAATCATTGTTGAACTTTTAAAAAAGTAAGCTTAAACATTAATTCAATACTTAAATGCAGCAATCAATTTTGAGTTCTTCAGTAGTTTATTGATGCCTATCGCTCACAGCTACTCGACCCTAGCTATTGTGATGAAGGCCCAATCAAGAGCCCTCTGCAGAAGCTAGCTTAAATGCTGCCTGATAGAACTAGCAGCAATTTTGAATACAAAAGGAAAATAAGAGTTACTTCTTTTGAGCCATGAAAGTCATGATAATAGCTAGTATAATATATTAATATATATTTTTTAACCTTGCATAATCTGGCAACCCTGAATCTGCGTTCAATGAAAATCATTCCCTGCGCCTAACTTTTTCTAGGGCTTTTGAATGTGCTATGAATCATTGAAATTGGACCAGTGGGAATTGAGGAGTTGCTTGACACACACATACACTGTACTTTATATACAAGATTGGGGAAATTTGCAGAAATTAAAAAAAAAAAAAAATTTAGTTTTTAGGAGTGCAGCTATTGATTCTTCCCAAAATGTTAATTTACATACTGGATTTTTTTTTCAAAATATCCCCTTTCTTAAAAGGAGATACTCCTTTCCCAAGCTAACATAAATGACCATAAAATTTAAAAAATGAAAAGAAAAATTCATGACCTATTAAATGTATATATAAGTAATTTATAAAATTAAAATAATAACTACATTAAAAATAAAATTAAATATTAAAAGCTTTTGGTCTGAAGAAATGAATATATAGAGATATTCACAAAAATTATAACCAAAATGAATCTAAAGTTTTTTAAATTATTATTATTAATAAATAAAAACAAATAAAATAAAATAAAATCTGACAACAACATTAGCAACATTTACTCTTGTTTATTAGGCATTAAATTACTTCAATTAGTGTCCGCCATAGTTTACCTTTACATACACAGTCAAAATTATTTTAGAGTGCTCTTAAATTTAAAATTTTTTTAAAACTTAAGGATATTTTTTACTTCTATTTTTAAATACATGCTGCAAAATAAAATCCTTATTTATCTTGGTGAAGTCTCTCTGAGAACAAAATGCATTAGTAAAGAGTTACACACACACACACACACACACTGCTTCATTAAAGAAATTCAAATATTTGCATTTAGGACTTGAAAATATTTTGCCTTTGGCTTCTGGAAGGCCATAACAGCTGAGCTGTGAAGGCATAATTTCTATGTCATGTGAAGTTGAGTTAGTTGCTTTCATAAGTCATATAAAAAGATATTTAGAAAAAGATTTGACTGCTGAAGTGCAGATGAACATTTCTATGGTGTCCATGTGCTATCAATTCTTACCTGGTAATCTCTCAGGTATTGCTCACATTTTGGAAAATGCACATTACTACAATGAAAAGTAAAAGACAAATGAAGAGAAATCAAAATTGACAAGACTTTCTTTCACAAAGTAAAATCATTAATGACATCAAGAAAATTTTACCAGTTTAATTTTTCTACGTCAGTTGGAGGTAATCAATAATGCAAGGAAGAGCTAATCATGAGCAATCATTTGTCAAGGCTGACGAAGAATATAGCAGCTTTGGTTGCCATTTTCAGGATAGGTAAAGGTCAATTATGAAAGCACCCACTGCCTGACCTGTTGGTGTGCCAAATAAGATGATGGTTATGATAACTGAAAAGGAGACAGAATTGGATTTGGGCCCTTCTCGGGGGGATTAATATGAACATATCCTCTAGAATTTCATTCCTGTTAGACAAGCAGGTTTACTGAGATAGTAATCATTAAATGACTAAACTTTCTGTGAGGCTGTTATTACTAAACATAGTCCAGAGAGGGGGGGGGGGCAAATTTTGCTAAATGACAAAAAGGGGTGGAGGACCCAAAATTCCCTTAATCCTGAAGGTCCCCACCATTCCTTCCTTTAGCACTGAACAGGAATGCCTTACTTGAATCTTGTATAGAAATTTTATGAACATTAAACTTTTTTTATTTTAATCAATTGGAGTCAAAGTTCATACTGATAAATTCAGGATTTTCGATGTCTACACGTCGTCCATTGAATGGCAAAGAATCATGATTTGGCTGATGTTATTTGCAGGAGAAAACTCCTTGGCATTTTCTAAAAAACCAATGAGTTTGTGTGGAAAAAGGTTGAAAGTTTTGTGGGACACCAGGAATCTCTTCTTGTCACTGTCAGAAAAAAATGGCGTGATTTGGACACATTACAAGGCACAACAGCCTGTGCAAGACTAATCGTAAGGCATCGTTGGAGGTGGACATAGGTGAGGACGCCAATGCAAAAATTGGTTGGACAATGTCAAACAATGGACAGGTATGACTATACCAGAATTGCAGATAGCTGCTGTTGATAGACCATTGTGGAAAAGAGTATGGCTTCTGCTTTTGGATCCGCCCTATGATTACAAAAGTCAAGGGGATGGTGATGATTTGTTAAGAGCAACAAATGAAGGATGAAGAAGAAAAAGAAATCTGTTAAGAGAGAACAAAATACTGATGAGCTGACAAAGAATCTCAGGTCAGGGAGATTCACACTTATCTTTTTTTTTTTTTTTTATTACAACATACACTCTTCAGCCTCTTTAGAACTTACTGATCTTAGCTAAGTTTGGCATAAGGTCACAATGAATGCCTTTTTGAATAGTTTGTCTTATTGTAATGTTATCGCCTTTTAAGCGAGAGAATGCAAAAATTTTTTTTTAATCCTGAACGTACTTAACAAGCCACAGCAGAATTAAAAAAAATAAAAAAAATTTAGTTTAGCATTCCAATGCCCTTGAGTAGTTCAGTAGAATTTAATAGAGCACAAACAGACTGACTACTAGATTTCCCTTACCTGCATCAAACTTTTAAAAATTGGGGGTGGGGGTCAAAGGAGCCCCACATGCATAGCAAAAAAGGTCTTGTGCCATTAAGAAAATAAAATAATTTCAGCAATCAGAAAAACGCAGAAGTATTTGTAAGAAAAAGGGGATCAATGAAGAAAACAAAAATATGAATAATTTGTGAAAAAAGACTTCTCTCATCATTTCAGACAGCTTTCCTCAGCTCTATCAACAATTATACATGGGTTTTGCCAAAAGTAAAGCAAAATAATTCATGTGATGTCAGCAGAATTCCCATTCAGTTATCGTCTCATAGCCAATTATGGTGTGTGTATATGCCAAATATCTAATGAAAAGTACAAATCTCAACATACTTAAATTCTAATCAAATAACTAAGTTTTTTTTTTTTGTCTGGAAGGGAAGAGCATCTTGACTAGGACAAGAATTTGGCATATCTTTTCTCTCCCAATATATATATATATATATATATATATATATATATATAAAAATAAATAAAAAAATAGAATGAAGTACTTCCTCAACTCAACTAATGGTCCTATGGGAACCATCTCAACTTTTGATGAAATTTTAGTAGGTTTTACCCACCCCATGAGAAAATAAAAACCCTAAAATTTCAGCTTCCTTTGTGACACTGAGGCTGTGAAGTGGTTAAACATTAAATTCTAAGCAGAGAAAGGGTTAAGCCCAAAATGAAATATAAACTAGAAGATAGAGAGCTAGAAAGCAAGAATGGGAGACATTTTTCCTGGTAATGTGGAAGTGAAGAAAGGGCCATCTGGGTTATATCTCACCCCTACAAATTGGAATAAAAAATATGGCATGTGGGAAATTAGAAAAATACATCATTGGCAAAAAGAGAAGCAGACGGGAATTATATTTCTGTTACCGAAAATTGAGAAATAAAAACAGAATGAACCTGCTGCATGGTTTAGGATTATGAAAATTGATCTGTCATAACAGGCAGGTGATCTGGTTTATGTTTTCGCTAAGATGGTGACTGGTCCAAGGATGGAAAATAGTGTCTCTTTTTTAAGAATTTAGGTAAACAAATACATTTTCATTGACAAAAACAAATTGAAAAATAATTTTTATCTATCGCTCAGGTTAAAATTAGGTGATCTGGTTTGTGTTTTCTCAGGTGGGTCCTGGAAAAGAGTCAGAGAATTGAAATTAATGAGAATAAACCATGCCCTTTCTTCTCACTTTAAAAATTAAATTTGTCACAAAGACAGTTATGAATACCGGAAAGGAAAGGGGCAGAATTTATCCCTGCCTGTGTGGAGTAGTGGTGCAAGATATGAAGTGAAGCAGGTTGGAGTTAAGGGAGGAGCAATTCTTATGACTACTCCCAAGGAAGGTGGATAGTTCTCCAAATTTGGAAAGTTGATTAAGAAAGTAGAAATAGAGAACAAAGAAAACCATTATTAGAATTAATGAAAATTGGGGTATGACCAAATCCCCAGTACCCTTTGCCAGTTTGGAGTCAAAGCGCACATAAGGAAATGACTTTGGGGAGCTCAGAGACATTGGGCTGAGAACCTGCATCAAGAACCTGTGAAATCCACGTCACCTGCCATGAGATTTCCTGATTCCAAGACTTTGAACCCAGCTCTTCCAAAAGTTTAGACAATGTCCAGTGTCACTACAGAGAATGACATAGAAGGGTTCATTTTTGTTATACCAAGAATATCAAATGTTATACTATATGAACCAACTGAAGATTTAACCCCATGAATCTTGTTTTATTTTTCATTGTCAAGAGAGATTTCTTCCTTAATATAGCACCTGCCACAGCTTGAACCAGCAGTGTGTTTACAATGACATTCAGTCTTCCACCACTCTGAGATCAAGAACAGAGCATGGGCAGAATTGGTATGGCTCGAATCAGTCAGTGACCAACAACCAGCTAGGACCAGCAGAGTTAGCCCTGTGGTTAAAAAGTTGTCCTAAGACTGAGTACTGGACCACTAAACGTGATTACACCACTGGGTGTAGGCGGCAGCCAAAAGGTGTTATATTAATTGCTGGCCAAGGACGTGACCCTGTTGGCAGGTGGTGTTATATTTAGACACTTACTCCATAAGTTATGACCTCTTGAATTTTGGTGTGAAGTTTGGCATTCTCAGAAGATACCGAGTTGATATTTGTTAGCCCCACAGTTTAATATATGGATTTATTCAATTTTCCTACAGTTTTATTTGATGCTCTTAGTAAACATGCTATTGAAAACAATGTAGCTAGAGAAAGAATTTGTTTTATAATTCAAACCTATTTTGATCCACATCTGCCAGTAACAAGATGTTTTGTTCCAGGTGCAACGTCTGCTAGCCAAATTTTTATATTTACCTTTCATTGATTGTAGCCCATTTGTCTGCAGGAACGACAGTTTTGAATTCATCAAGAATCTATTGGAAAAGAAAAAAAAAAGTTAGTCAAAAACAAATTTCATGTTATTTTTATATTGAACTGTGCCATGCAAGTAATTCTTCCATCAATTACCACCGCTTTAAACAGATTGATTGCCAATGTAAAAAAAAAAAAAAAAAATCTCACCAGAAATAGTTTCTTAGTGCAAAAAAATAAGACTTGCTCATAGAAATAGTGAAGTAGTGATAAAGTCAGTGGGTAACAATATGAAAAGCTGAAGAAAATTAAATTTCAGATTAAAATGCACTCCGTATTAAAATACAATTTCTTCTTGTTGGTGTTACTACATAAAATAATTATAAGTAAATAAATCCTATCTGTGACATCAAAAGGCTATTTTTTTTTTTTTAGATTTCTGCTATATTTAACAGCTATAAATCCATATTGTACAAGATTGGTATCTAAAAGCCATTAAAGAGACAGGCATTCAATAAAGTGGATAAGCATTAGAAGGAATTAGCAAATTCTAACTCAAGTTGGAAACAAATAATGCAAGATTATTTGGTGCATAACCTGAAGTGCCATTGAGGAGGAATTTACTCCTAGCACGAGTAATGATTGCTACAGGAAAGAACATAAGGAAGAAACCTCAAGAAATTTAAATAAAACATATCAACACAAAAGGAATGTCACAAAACAATACACTCAATGCATTAATTACTCACTGTAATGAGTCTGACCAGAATTTTGATTTAAAAAAAAATGCTGCTTTAATTAAAGGAGGAAATTTATTAATTGTATAGAAAATGCTTTTGTCTGTAGATCCTCCACAGTAAAATTGCATCTTGGTCCTTATATTTCACAACAATGTGGGATATTTCATACAAGTGATAAAAACAAAGGTATAAGGGGATTGAATGAAAATGGCTAGACTACAAGCCTAGACTACATGCTTGACAAAAATAATATTTTAAAATGTTAAAATTTCAGTGTATAATTATAAGTGCTTTAGTCCAATGAAGTTCTCCCCCTCACAACTGTTATCCATTTGCCTAACATTATTGAGATCATATATATATATATATATATATATATATATATAAAAATAATGGAAAACTTATCTTAGTTGACATATTTCACCCTTTGATGGACTTTATCAAGAGAAATGTATGGATTTTATTCTGCAACAAGTATTTATAAACAAAAATAAAAATCTTGTTAGTTTCTCAAAATTTTTAAGTTTAAGAGTCACTCAAATATTCATCAAGTTAACTGAATTGTCTTGGTAAATTATGGAGGATGCTAAGTGACAATTTAATGACTATGAAAGCAAGTAAATATTTTTTATGCAATTAATATTTAAATTATTTTAGCATGGGATTAATTTATTATATATTTTTTAAACAAAACATGAATTTAATAGTTTTCTTTTAAAATGTTAAACCATTTTCATAGTTATGTATGTTATCTTAGGGAAGAAGTAATTCTTTCATATTGCCCTTTTACCATGGCTGTTTAGAATGCTTCTTTTTGTCATATAGGAAGATACAACATGGTGCTTGAATAAAATATTCAGTGAAAATTCCCGTTTGTCAGTAACATTTAAATGTAAAGTTCTTAAAGCAAACCCATGCCAAACCGTTTTCCTGAATCCTCAATGATTTGGTTGTCTGAAAATGACATCATCAAGATGAAACAATGGAAACTGACTGTGGAAAACAATTATGTGCAACAAGTTTTCGATCAATCAGTTACCTTCTAGACGTTTTTGGACCATGTTATTGGACCCAGATGGCTATTGTTTGCACATGGAATTATTCAATAGTAATTAATCTTTAATTTGGCTGTGGAAAATGTCATTCGGAGGTTAGCATTAAAAAAATCATGACCAATTTCCCGAGAAAAATCACTTTTTTTTTTTTTTAAAATGAAAAAAAAAAAAAAAACTTTTTCCTCTTTAAAACAATTTTTCAAACTTCAATCCTTTCTCTTGGCATGAACATCATTGAATAAAAGGAACTGCTTTATGACCCAACGATGGGAAATATGAAAGACATGCAGCGGAAAAAAAAAATATGTTATCTTAAGTGTTTCTGTCATCACCTGGGTCAGCATGTGTTTGGTCTTATATTGTAAGTGGTGGGGTTTATCAACAGTTGATGACAGCTTGTTTTAACTTTTATTGCTGGCTGGCTGGCCTTTGACCCAGCCATGTCAAAGTCAATTTGGCTTAATTTGAACTCTATTTTCCCTAGTGGTGCTATTTTTTAGGGAAGAAAAAAAAAAAAAAAAAAAAAAAGTGTAAATTTTTTGAACCCCTGGTAGCCATATAATTGAAAATTACCAACAGACTGTTGCATTTTGACCCCCTAGGAATTTTTTTTTCCTTCAAACTCAATTTTATGCCTGAAATAGTTTAGGCTTTCTGATTTTCCTCCAAAAATGTTAATTCATAATATATATCAAAAATACTAACCGTTTATGCTACCATGCTTTCCACCAGTAAGGTTTCTTTAGGCAGTAGAGGTTAATTGTATTCCCTGAAGGCCCAGTTTTTTATCTGAAAATTTCCAACTGGAATTATATTTGAAGGGAAGGAGTAAAGCAAGAGTAGTTAAAATGTAAGGGAGAGGGGAGGAAAATTAATAAGAATAAGGAGAGAAGCAATGATAAAGGAATTGAGACGCAAAGCAAGAGTAGAGGGAATTTAAGGTAGGGGGAGGAAAAAATATAATGGGAGGGGCAAAGCAAGAGTATAAGGAATGAAGAAGTTGGGGCGGGGGGTTGGTAGGATGCATTGTGATTCTGGTTCATATAAACCTAACATGTATTTTGAAATGTGCTTACAGTCCGACATCACTTCAGACTTCTCATTTAACAGCTTATTTTGGTCTGGATACAACATTATTTCCAATTTCTCCACCTGGCACAATATACACATTATTACCAATGTTATAAGATTTGGCTTTCCTCAAGATGCACCTGTGCACACTTGGGCTTCTTCCATTCCCCCACCTCCCATTTCTCACACATGGCTGGCTAGTTTTGTATAGTTTTTTTTTTTTTCAGATGGGGGTTGGGGTTTAAACCTGATGGTAGTTTCTAAATTGCTGGTACAATTATATTAGGTACCTCTACGGAATCGCTAAAAAATAGAGCATAGTCTAATGAAAAAGACGCCAAAGTTTATGAAAACAAAATTTTATCGTCAAAATGCTTGTTTTTATGAAGAGGAAAGACCAAATTTTTTTTTTTAATTATTTTTAAAAATTTTTCCATCTTTTTAGAACATTCTAGATTTTGATTTAAAAAACCTCGTTTCTCTTTGTCACAACAAGGGGTAGTAAATAACAGATAATTTTTAGCGCGTTTTTTTGTATTACACACATTAATTTGGAAAATCTTGCAAAAATAAAAATAATTGTCAGATGTTAATGAAACTTTCAGAAACTATTCACAGATGATCGAAATTATAAATATGTTTTTTTTTTTTTATTAAAGTCACGGCAGAGATATATTTTTTTATATTTATTAACACCCCCATAACTAATTTTATGAAAAACTCTAGAAATTTGAGACCATCGGTTTTAGTGATTACAATAGTTAAAGCACAAGGCTTTGAAGAATGTAAATTTTTTTTTTTTTTTTTAATTTGGTCAACGTACCTGAAAATCAGCTCTGAATTGTAACATACGAAACTCAATAAAAACAAATATATTATTTAATTTCAAATGTTTTTATTTGTTTTTATGAATATGGACAATATTTTCTGAAAGCAAAAAATTTTTTCAATGAAAATTGAATTTTTAATACAATTATTTCTTATTTCTTTAATTTTAAAAAGATTTTTTTAAATTTTTAAAAATTTTTAACATTAGTTAAAAGCAACGTCAACCTTTCAAAATGTCCGTGTAAGATTGTCATTGTCTAGCGTATTGAAATTTTTTTCATTTGGACCAATCAGATTAGCCATAGTAATTATGTAATTTTTGTGTTTATAGTCGGGCACTAATTATCAAGTACGGAAGACCAACCAGAATACAATTTAGTTGCATTATTTGAGTTCAGCATTGTTCTCCGCTGTTAAGACCTTTACTTTTGCGAAACATGTATGGAGAAGTTAATTTGAGTTTTCAATTTCAACTGAGAAGGGTACCTACAAGTAACAGTATCATCTTATGAAATTTAACTACTGCTAAACTTTAATTTATATGATCTTATTTTATATTAATCTCAGTTATGACATTTTCCATAAATGAAATATCAAAATTAATAATAAAATGAATGGAAATACAAATAACACAGTAAAATGTAATAAATGTACATAAAATTATAGTATTTTATGTACACTTCTGATAAAATTTCATAAGAAAGGTACCTATAAATTAATTAGATACCTTTTTTCTTATGAAATTTAATGTCACTCTTAACAGTCTTATTTTTTTAATTTCTTTATATTTTCCATAAAGCATAAATGGCGTAAAAATGAAAGCTAAGTACAAAAAAAAAAAAAAAAATTAGAGCGCTGAAAGTTTTCCTTAAAAAGTAACGAGTAAATAATTTGTTCACTTAAATAATTTCACTTCCTTCCATCCGTAAAAATTATCCTCCCGTAAGTTATCTAAACGTCATGAATGTGCCTTTCGTCACTCGTCAAGCGACGCGAAAGGTTATGACCTGCTTTGTTTTATTTTCAAATTACATTTTTTCGGCGCAGAAGCTAAGTTAAGCTTGGTTCAAAATATTTTAAATAAACAGTATAATTTCTGTTTTTATTAAAATCAGTTCTGAAAAAATGATAATTGATTTTTAAAAGAATAATAGAAAGTCAGATTTTAATCTTTTTTATCAAATTGAAAAAAAATGATTGAAAATGATTGATTACCTGTCCTTTTTTTTTTTTTTTGACAAAAAACAAAAAAAAAAAAAAACTATTTTTTTAGAAAATTTCAGACGTGCTAGGAACGATTAAAAAATGTAAAAAAATACCCCCAAAATACTTTGATCTTTCCTCTTTATTAATAAATTTTGTTTTCGTCAAGTTCGTCATTTTTTTTCATCATGCTATGCTCTTTTGTTTACATTTTCGTGGAGGTACTTAAATTATATATATATATATATATATATATATATATATATATATATATATATATATATATATATATATATTCCCAAGAGGATAGAATCCAGGTAGAAATTAATGTCCAGGACAGAGTAAGAATAATCACAATCAATTCATCAGACTAACAAATTTGTAGGTCTGATGAACTGGATCGTGATTACGATTCCAATGTAATAAATTATAACCATGGAATATTAGTGTTTGAGCCATATATATATTATATATATATATATATATATATATATATATATATATATATATGTGTGTGTGTGTGTAGTTGTATTAGAAGTGATCATTATGGAAAGTAAAAATGTAATTGCTATGAAATAAATGCTGTGTCTGCATTACCTTTGAGAGTAATGTGTGCGCAACTCTTTGTGGGTATTCATGGTCTGCTATTAATACTCCTGCAAGGGAATCACCTCGAAGGTAAACATGACACAAATAATCTGCAACAGAAAAGAAAGAATTCCAGATTTTTTCAGTCTTTACAACAAAAAGAAAATTCTTGCAATTTTATAATTAAAAGAAAAATTTTCATGTTCAAATGGGATGAGGTCCTTCTCATCATTATTCATACCTTACACATTCTCAGGTGTTTGGGATATATATATATATATATATATATATATATATAGAGAGAGAGAGAGACACAAAGCAAGCAGTAATATACCAGTCAAAGCAAATATTTATGTAAAATCTGGGGTTTCTACAAAACAAGCAGCAAAATATCATGCAATTCCATAAATTTCTTTTTCTTGGGTGAATTTTACAGGGATATTTTTTATTGACATCATGTTTGTTCACTTCCAGGAATCCTAGTTGAAGACCTAAGAAGCTCTATGTGTGCACAGATTCCTAGTGAACGACACTTTTTTGGTGGTCTTCATGTCACTTTCATATATATGATAATGCTGTATTGGATGCAGAGTAATTTTTTGAAGGAAAAAATCCATATCCAGCAAATACGGCATATCTTTAGTGAACTTTACAAGGGAGATAACTCGCTTTCGTACTTACCTTGTTCTTTGACAGAAGACCTGGAGAATGTTGATGAGCGTTCTACAATTATCCGACTTGTAAATTCCATAAACTCTTTTACCCTAAAAAGAAAAACAGTTTTGAGTTTAAAAATCATTATTAGCTATTAGTCAGACTGTAATTTTATCAGAATTTTGAAGAACCAAACCCTTTATTCAATCAACAGTGTTTAGAGTTTGCTCATTCTGGTTTCAGAGATGAAGGAATATTTTATATCAGTTATTCATTATTCAGACTCCTTCACTTTTGTGTTGGGTACCTTGACATGGTGTAATAGTTAGAAAGGTGGTCTTGCAAGATCAATTACGACTGAATAAAGAGTTTGATGCTCACTGGGTGCTCCCATACTTTTGGCCTTGTGCCACATCTAAGGTACGTTTAAAAAAAAAACAAAAAAAAAAAAAAAAAACTAACTTATTCACTTTGTGTTGCTTGTCAGTTTCTTCCATTGAACCACAAAGTGTGACTTTTTCACCATTGCCAGAATGTTCTTGAGTAAGGCTTTAATCCATTTGGGCATTTATCTGTAGGACACTCAAGGGAGGTGTAATTTTGAAACCAGAAATTTAGTTTTTGTACTCAGGTGGTCTTTATAACTACATATATAAGCAAACACATACAATGAAAGGAGGGACCTCCTTGCCAAATAAAAAACTTTGTACCAATGAAGAGTGCATATATAAATGATTAAATGAGAAATGTAAACAGTCAATTGCAGATATCCCCTGATGAATCGATGGAGTGATTGTTGGAGGGTCTGTCTATAAAATTCTGGAGTTGGGATATTGAAGATAACAAACAGCTAAGTGACAAACTTTGTACTATATAAATAAATAAATAAAATAAAATATAATATAATATAATATAATATAATATAATATAATATAATATATATATATATATAAAAAGGGTAAAAATAATGGAAGAACTTTGAACATGGACATAATATCTTGACCATGTTTTGAAAAAAAAAAAATAAATAAAAAAAAAAAATAAAATAAAAACATTTTATAAAGCATACAAACTATTGCTAATTTTCAGTTAAAATATAATCCTTGAAAATGGCTAAATGTATAGCCGAAAGCGCTCAGATAAAAAGAACATTTGGACAGTTTTTATATAATTTATCATCCGAAAAGAAAAAAAAATTGTTAGATCACATGAGAAATTGTATAAAAAAACTAAATAAAAGCACCTTGTCTGTCGTTTTCCATGAAATGTGCATGAAAGTAGGATTGCTGCATATATATATATATATATTTATTCCAGATGGAGTATATCTTTAGAAGTGATAAAATGAAAAAACAAGAGGAAAAATATACTTAGTTTTCAGCTGATGCATTTTGTCATCTGACAGACTTTATCAAGGTAAGCGTGATGGTTTTATTTTGCAAATAAATATATATATATATATATATATATATATATATATTTGACAGTTACTCAAAATTTTTAAATTTAAGAACACTCATAAATATTCAACAGGTTAACTGAAATGTGTAGGAATTTAGACCTTAGATTACATTATTTAGTATACTTGGAAAAAAAAAAAAAATTTTTTTTATATTATACATCTCTGAAAATTGTAATAACTGATTCACTTGTTTTCCTTTGATTTTCAACACATTTGTTGTGCATGTTGGCTTGAGAAAGTAGTAATTCTTTCAGGAAAAGTGAGATTGGGAAAAAAATGCGATGTAGATTGATATTTTGATAATATTTGATGGCAGCACTCAAGAATTTTCCTTCTGAATAAATTACTTTCGCTTTTCATGAGCTTGGCATTTTTTTTTTTTTTTTTTAGATCAAAATTGTGGTCGAATTCATTTGTGTATGACTAGTGCATTTATTAAATTGTTATTTATAAAAGTCTCTGTGTTCATACATGTTATTTAAATTTCTGCATGTTTCCTCAATGTATTGTGAAGAACAGCTGAGGCAATTACTGAAAAACGATAACATAGATTTCAAATTTAAAAACCACCACCGCTATGACCGATTTCACCAAAGGATACACCAAAGGCCAAATCACAGCCACATATGAAAAAATGAACGACATCACTTTCTTGTAGATATATAATAGCCCTGAAGGAATTAGCAAACAACAAAAATATCCACATATTTCCTTAGATAAAGGCTGGGGTATTGTAATCATAGATGAACTTATCTACTGACAGAAAATGTGAGACCTCATCGATGACAAATCTCTACAAGAAAATAAATGAAACATATCCATGATAGAGGCACAAAAATTCATAAGCAACACTAAAAAAAAAAAAATGAAGACACCACTTGGCCAAAACTCATTGAACAACACTTAAAAAACAAAAAACACACACTATATGGACTACCATAAATACAAACTGGATATACCAATGAGACCTATCATATCAGGGAGAGGCAGCATGCCACAAACTAGCTGGCACACTAATAAAAATCCTAACCCCCTCTCCCTAGCACAATTAAACCCTCACGTATATAAAAAAAAGAAAAAAAAAAAAACCCAGGTGACCTAAATAAGTTTAAAAATGTAGACATCAATAACAAATATATGGCCAGTTTAGATATAAAATCTCTATATGCAAACATACCTATAGAAAAATACCTAAATCTACTAAAAACACACAAAAATAAATTGACCTAATCCTTCACACAAAATTCTAAAAAATTTTGATTACCTATGAGATCTCATCTCAGTGGCATTCTTGCTTGTCCATTTTTAGAGTTTCTAGAAAGTGGCTCTTTCAAAAACATTCTATCACCAAATTCTTCCAATTTCAGATTGTTATACCATAATACCTATTCTATTGTAATGGACTCTCCCACAGATAAGTAGTAGTAGCAGTGGCCAGTTTGGCTCAGTGGTGTTGAGCGAGTCAGTCGATATGGGACATTGAAGTACCAACCATCACAACTAGATTGCTGCGTCATTAACTCTTATTTCCAAGTTCCTAACGTTTTGTACGTCGAACCTAATTTAGGACGATTGAAATACAAGCCTCCACTGTGAAAACTACAACACAGATACATAACACCCCCACCCACTAATATATCCACAAGACACCATTTTAACAGATCTTGTCAACCAATCTACAATGGACTTCCTAGGTACCATGTTACACAGAGATAATAGCAAACTCAATTTTGACTTTTACAGAAAATCTACCAACAAAAACAAACTAGTCAACTTCTAATCTGGTATAATTCTAAGTTTCTACTTAAAAGCACTAAGAATTTGCAGCCACCCTACCCAAAGAAGAAACATACCTGGAAAGACATTCAAAATCATCCCTGTATCCCTATCACTTCATCCTCAATGCAAAGAGAGACAAAAATTATTATTATTCACAATAATAAATTAAACAAAAACAAATACATAATGCTACCTACTAATTCTATAACATCCACTATTCAAAGTACCTTATACCATCTAAACATTCAAATCATCACAACCACTTCCAAAATCATGGAGATAATCACAGCTAAAAAACATCCATATCAATAATAGTATCAAATAATCTAAGTTCTAAATGCCTACACATTTAAGTTAACCTGATGAATATTTACGAGAGTCTTTAAATTTAAAAAATTCCTTTCAAAGATGCTATAATGATGTAATCTAGGTTCTAACACAAACTTTTCAGTTAATCTAATGCATATTTATGAGTAATTTTAAATTTAAAAATTTTGAGGAACTGCCAAATATATACTTGTTGCAAAATAAAAAGTATCACATTTGCCTTGATAAAGTATGTCAGACAACGAAATGTGTCAGCTAAAAACTAGGTATAGTTTTCCTCTCGTCTTTATTCATTGTCTCTTCTACAGACATATGCCATCTGAGAATATTTACACACACAAACACGTGTGGATTGTCGGAGAGATATGTCTGAATAGATTAATGCATTGGTTGAAATCTATCTGGTCCCCTGACAATCCAGGTATCTTGGAACAATTGTATACTCTGCTTCAGAAAATTAAACCAACAAGTGACACAAAGTCATTGCAGACTGGAAAGCATTAACTGATACAAGAGATCCCTAAGCATGGAAAGCCAAATGAGCTCACTATTCCTGTAAATTGAATAAAGGGTTCAGTTCTAATGTAAACATACGTGACTCTCGCAAAAGCCTCCCACTGGCTGGCCAGTGATCACCCCCCATGTTGCATTTCAATCTTCGATCTGTGTTCACCAACTTCTGGGAAAGATTGTGATACAAGCTAACAAGGTAACACTATGATAGAAAAATGTCACATTGAGAAATAAGAACATGACCCCTGTTTTGTGTATTACAGTTATTGTGTTCAGGGTTTTGCCTGCTTGTCCAGATGGCTGGGTAGGTAGGTGAGACCAGGGACAACTTCTGCCATATCAGCTCTTACCCCTACCAACTCGTTGCCCATCAACTCGTATCGATGTGGTGACTGACAAATATGAAATGGAGGTTTCAGAACTTCAACACAGACAGTTCTACCTCCTGCCAAGGGCAAACCAGCACACTCTCTGATCCCAGCACCTGGATATAACCCATTTCTAGTTTTGCTGCCACTTGATCCCCATACCCCCCCCCCATACATTCCTTTACTCCACATTACCCTTTGGTCGAAGTGGGTGCTGCTTAGAAGACTGAACTTCAAGAGGAACCATTTGCTGGTCCATCAAAGAAACATTTTAGATCAACATAAACCACCCCTTCCTGTTCCATGTGGGTGTCCATAGTATCATACTAAAATGGCAGATGTTTGAACAGACAGACAGACAAAACATTGAGAAACATCACCACGATGAGTCTACCAGTCAAAAAGAAAAGCATATGATAAAAAGTGTTTGCAAGGTGGGGTAGGAAGAGGATGTACACATCATAGGTAGGTAGGTAGAGGTGGTTATCCTTTTAATGTTGGGAGAGAAATCAGTGCTAAAACTGTATATATATATATATATATATATATATATATATATATATATATATATATATATATATATATATATATATACACACACACACGAGTGGGTGGTGAAAAGATTTTTTATTTTTAGCTCAATACGTTCCCAAGAAGATTAGAGATTTTTGTTAAAAGATTTCTTGGTTGGTCCAAGAACTTTTCAGCACCTCCATATATGCAGGTTGTATTTTCCCATAGAATAAAGTTGCCTATAATCAATACACACTCAGAGTATAATTGAAACTAATCATACTTACGTTGATCTCTGAAAATAGCCAAAAGATGAAAGTTCATAGGAACCCTTCAATAAGCGAGCTTCATTTTCACCCTTATAAAGGATGGACAAAGCGTAGACCTTCATCTTGTTGCAGTAGAAAGTTACGTAGCAGAGTTAGTCAAAGAAAAATTTGGATTTAGATTCCAGACAAAGTCCTGTGTATCAAAATCACAGCAAGGGGGAAAGGATCAACCAGCAAATCCCGCAGGGGCACCAAACTCGTCCAATTCCCCCTGCTTCTGGGAGATGACCTTCAAAAAAAGTCACAGCACAGCAAGACTGAAAAGAGAATAAAAGGCAAGAAACATGAAAATTTAAATGAACAAGAGATTAAAAAAGAAAAAGAAAAAAAACCTTTAAAACTGGCAAAGTTTGAAGGTTCTGTTAATATTTTCAAACTTTTCTTTAAAAATAAACAAATTTGGGTTCATATATCAATATTCAATGCATTTTTTTTTTTAACCTCCTTTTAAACATGTATTCTTCCAGCAACAAAGTATTAAAGAGAGATACTTGCTTTTGAGACCAGTCTCTAAGCAAGTAAATAAAAAAAATGGCAACACAAAAATTACCGAATACAACGATGTGTGCTGAAGCAAATTAAAAGAGCAGGTGATTCAAAATACAAGAAAACATACATCAGCATCTTAGTCTGAATAATTTTAGCAGGTAATGAAAAATGCAAAATGAAAAAGATTCTCAAAATTTCAGATAAAAATGCACTGAATGGAAATTTGTTGTTTTTGAGATATATATATATAAGTTTTATTATAAGAGATTATAATAAAAACATATTGAAATTATTACGCAAAAGCTTTCAGGTTTCAGTACTGTGATTGTACTTCTTCATGCGATGCTAAGAAACTGGTGAATAAATGATTTTTAAAACAAAGTGTTACCCTTTTCCAAAAGTTAAAAGGGGTGGGGGAAACATATGGTCAGAATTAAAAATAGACTTGTGGGTTTGTCTTGATTAACCAATTAAATGTCATATTTACACTAAATAGAAAAGTAAGTGCAGAGGGTGGAGGAGGGAGACAAGGCCATCATTGATGATTGCAAAAAAATGTCAGTGACATTATTATAGTTAAATGATATTTTATCTTTTAGTAGAGATACTCAGATTTAAGTAGATACTCAGATTTAAGTAGATGCTCCGTTTATTTATTTCCATCTACCGGCCTGAATATCTGAGAAATGTTATTAGAAAAATATGCCAGAGAGCACGTCTTTCAAAAGGTTCTTGATAGACAATGAAAATAAATAGTTTAATAAATAAACAAAGCATCTACTCAAATACAATTATCCACAAAAAAAAAAAAAAAAAAATAATAATAAATACACAAATCCATTTCTCTGTTTTGTTTTTTTTGTGTGTATGTGATAGATATCTGCATTTTAATGCTTGGCCTTGAAATATTGATTTTTGCAAAGCAGGTTGGGTCAAACTTTCTTATGCTGTAAAGTGATAGGACAGACTTGGATGACAAATCTGATACCCCACCAAAAGGCGGGGACAGGATGGTGTAGAAAAGTTCTTAGTTCAAACCATTTTGCACTTATTGATGTACAACATATGAATGGTTTACCTTTATTGGGGCGGGGAGTGTGTAGCAACAACACTAAACAATGAAACCACAATAAGAAAATCTGCCTGAATTTTTATCGTCCATCAAAAAACAGACAAGAAGTAGTTGTATATCTACAAATAGCACAGCAGGTGATCTTCACAAGAAATAGGTTCTCAGGTATATTTACTCTGCCTTCCCACTAAAGCAGCATATGACACAAGGTCGTTTTTCGTGGGGAGCACTGTACACATATGCATATGGGCGAAGTCATGCTGGCAGAGATATTACACCAACCATGTCTCTCTTACTGCAATAAGGAAGATGCTGCTGCAGGGGTGGAATCCCTAGGACTGGGCTCTTTACCGTCATCTTAAAGGAAGAGAAACATTGATGATTTTCAAAGCAGGTAAGCATCCCTCCAGTTTGGTAAAGTGGGGGGGGGGAACAATTGCACACAAATCAAGCTAAGCTCTATTCATCTCTTCTGAGGACCACTTAATGATTGAAAGCTATTTTTGGCAAGGAATAAGTCTAGAAAAAAAAAAAAAAATTATATTAAAGGAATGAATGAGTGATTCTTTTAAAAGGTTGACAGAAAAGTTGAATGGATACAAAATGTTTGACTCACGTATTTAGTTGAAAAGCAAGCCCTTGAAATTTGCCAAGAAATAGGATGCAGAAAAAAGTGACATCTCACAATAAACAGAAAAATGGTGTTTTTTTTTGTTTTTTTTTAACCAACTCTGGCTCATTCTGATTTAATACTGCTTCCCTAGGCCTGATGGGAGGGGGTATTCTAGCAGCAGCAGCAGCAGCTCGACCCTGACTGTTGATACTATTCTACAGGCATACAAGAACTGGAGAGGAAGAGCTAAATACTTGGGCCATGTGGAATGTCTGCTCAGGTTGCAAAAGTAATTTCTGGCAAGTTGATGACCCAGCAGCAAAGTCTGCTATTCTGTGACAAACATTATTAAAAGAAACTAATCACATTCCATATTAATGCCATTTCGGTTCCTTCATAACAGTGTCAACCATTCTCTAAAGCAGAAGCTTATATAGTGGATCATGTTCAGTACACAATTAAAAAAAAAAACAAAAACAAAAAAAAACAAACAAAAAAAAAAAAACCCCACAATTACTGATTAGAAGCAAGAGTTTAATTACCCAGAAGAGAATTGATCCTGGGTTAAGGCTTTTGTTTTTCTGGAGGGAAAGTCATTGTAATTATCTTTATTGCAAACATCAAAGAGTTTTAAAAGTTTAAACTTCCTTTCTATTTAAGATCTGTAATGAAAATTCCAATTTCTGCAAAATGTTTGTTAGAAGCAAATAACAGGGATATTGTGTGTGTGTGTGTGTGGGGGGGGGTGAATATAAAAGTCAATACCGAGTGGCAACAGTGTTTTGTGCAATCTTTAGGCATGAGGATTGCATTCTAGTATAAAAGAGTGTCACCTCTCAGTGCTGACCTCAGTGTCAACACGCACAAATTAACATAAGATTTATTAAGTTTGTTTTCATGGAGAAAGTTGTTAAGTCAGACTTATCTAAGTCTGAGATAATATTCCCATATCTGACTGTAGGTCATTTACACTGCAAGTTTTAATGTCAGCTCCATTAGAGTTGAGGGTTAGGGTGAGAAAAGAATGTTTTTATTTTAGGAGAGAACTTTTTGCCCATTCTGTGAATAAAACAAGATTTATAGGTGGCAGTAGGCAGAGTATATAACTATTTTATATACATTAATACTATGAACATGTCCCATAATTTATATGACTTATTTAGATAAAAACATGAAATGTCTCCATAAACCTGCAGGGATTTATTTAGCTTCCGCTCTTCATACCTTCAATAGATTAACCTTTTGCTAGAAGATTTATTTAGCCAGAATCTTAAATCTGGTCAAGTAGTGCAACCTGTCAAACAGAATAGTAACATTTCATTAGCCACCAAATTAATTTTCTATATTGACAGAGTTGTGTGCATGTGTATACACGCACACATTTGAGAAAAAACAGGATTAATACTGCATGATCGTCTCTCACCTCATGTAATCAACACACCGACAAAGTTCAGTTGAAAACCAAGAAAGTTCTAAGTAATTTGTTTTTTGTGTGTGTCTTATCCTAATCCCTTCATATTCACAAATATTTTTCTGAATATTGCAATTAAATAAGGCAAGAAATGCACTGTAACAGTGAAAATCACTTATTTTTGAGATCATCAGGGGTGTAGTTGGTAAGGCAAAAGCTATGTATAGCTATCCATTGCCGAATTTTTTTTTCCTTTTGCATTTAAATGCTATGGCTGACAATTATGCTTTAGTATTCATTAGAATGTGAAACGTTATCCATTATGGATAACTTTTTTCACATTCTGGTAAATACCCAATGGCAAGTGTTTCATGTTTAAATACAATCTTTGGGCAATGTGTGTTGTATTTTGGGTAGACTATGCTGTGCATTATGGGTAGATCAATTGTATTATCCTAATGATTATTGGATAGGCAGTAATGGTGGTTTCAAATTATTCTAGCAACTATTGTATAGAAATAATTGTAGATCTGAATGCAGTTATTTTTACCTAATTTACAGCATTAATTGCTTATTATTACAGTTACTTCTGTTTGTATGTGCAGTTAATTGGTTTACTCAGTCAATTGGTTTAGATTTTTCATTTATTTCACTTGTTTTATATATATATATATATATATATATATATATATATATATATATATATATACACACACACACACACACACACACACAAGGAAACCAAAAAAGTCATTGCCATTTTTTATGCCATATGGGAAGAAGTGATCATTGATACACAAAAAATGAGTGTGTCACGTGCCAAGAAAGTGGAGGTGGTGGTAGGGACATTGCCCTTGATCAGTGCGAGTATGTTACACACACACAAGTCATAGCTCAAGTAGCAGCTAGGAAACCTGTCAGTGTTGAAGCAGTGAGACTTAGCCGAGAGACACTGTGCCATCCACCTTACTCTCTGGACAGATTACCACTTCTTTCATTCCCTTTGTGGGAATTCCTTCACAAATAATGCAGACTTGCAGCAGGCACTCAGACTTCCAAGACATCATTTTTTTTCTTAGATAACTTATGTGCTTACATAGGACTTACAGCCATAACATGTTAAAATGCTGGTTCTCGCAAGATCACTCAAGTTAAGCAACACTGAGCCTGGTTAGTAACTATATGGGTAACTGCTTGGGGGTACCAGGTAATGTAAGCTTGGATGTATAATGGGTGTAATGGAGAAAGGCTCAGAATTGGAAATCTGAGAGTAGAGTTCCAATTCCAGTCAGGTTCTTTATATTCACTTATGAACAAATACTCTTTGGAAAAGGTATAAATCCACTTCTCCCAATTAGGAGTTAATTAGGACTTTTATCAGTAAATCATTGTCAAAACATTACATTCTAAAAAAATATTTTCTGACTTTAAATAACCCGTAAAAAGGTTGATAAGCTGTAAAACAATTCAATAAAAAGATACATGAATCTGCAACACATGATTTAGATTACAAAATAAATATTTGATAAAAATTTTTATCTATGCATGAAGTGTGCAAAATAAATGATAAAAAAAGAAGTAAAAATTAAAAAATTGTTTTGTCATTTGATCAGATTTAAGGAATAACTTTTCAGCACCTCACCATCATTCTAAGTTAATGCTCTGAACATTC